GAGGTAGATGAGCTGCTCAGAGTCAGTCAAGTGGGAGCCAAGAGCCCAGGGAGGCCTGTGGCAGCATGACAGTGGTCGTGACCTGAAGTCACAGAAGTTGGGCTGGCACCACGATGAGTATTTGGAGTTGCCCTCCCTGGTAAGGACCAAAGAGGACTGGAGCCATGTGATTTCCTCAGTGCTGGAGACTTCTGTGTCCTTGAAGAAGGGGTGAGATTTACTTCAAACTTCTTTAATAAAAGAAAATTATGATAAGCCATTCTCCAGGCAAAAGTTGTAAATACCACTGTGTATATTGGCTTTTAAAATAGAGACATTAGCCAGAATATCTCAGACTGTGTAATTCAGGGTCTTTATCATTTCATCTTCCAATTATGCTACCAAGAGAAGTGATGTCTGGAAGATAAATTTCACATGGGGAAGAAAATCCCTCACTTAAAATATATTTAATACTTGAATGGTGTAATAGAAAGGCCAGTTTTATTATTTTTCCCAAAATGGACTTAAAAACTCAGTACCTCCTGCAAAGTGGCTGAGTTTTTGAAAACCACTGAAGCTTTTATGAGTTTCAGATCTTTCCCTTCTTCAACATCATAGGGAGGAAAGTTATTGTAGTCTGAGAATCCCAGTATATTTTTCATGACACATTGGTGCGCTGCAATGGTTTAAGCAGTGGGTTATTAAATGTAGACTATAGTAATGCCTATTTCCCCACAGAATGGAAGATGCAGACTTTACAAGTTTCTGAGGTTAAATTGTAACAATGACTTTGACTGGTCTTCAAGCTCTTGTACTGAAGCAGATGTTCATACTTTACCTCCATGTGTGATATAGCTATTGAACAAAATTAAATGGCAGAGCAGATGCAGTCGATATGTGATGTATGTGATTCAGTGACCTCATGGAAGCAGGGAGGAAATCAGACATCACAACTGTTTGTGGTCTTTTCATTGCTTGTGGAAGGTTAAGACAAACAGGTGAAAAAGATTGGGAGGTTGTATTGAAAACAGAGTAATCTAAAGGAAAGAAACATATAGTCCCTGCCGTGCAATCTATAGGTAACCTGTAATTATCAAAACGAAAACCTGTTTTTCATATGGCTTGTAGGCAACAGACCGTCACAGAAAACAAAAAGTACAGCAGCTCTGCACTTGTCTTTCACCTAAAGAAAACACAGAATTAAGACAGCCTGAGCAGAAAAGTGAATGGCAAATTAACCCTCTCTTAGAGACAAGAAAAATCATCCTAGGGACTGACCATCTCATTCATGTCTGTGTGTCCTGGAGGACAACCAGATGTGCAGAGGCATAGCGGGGGAAGATAAGGCTGATCAGCAGGACCCAGTACCCTGGGCATCCTGTGTTTGGGAAGACTCGCAAGGCAGATTGCTGAGGCACCAAAAAATCCTTTACCTTATGAAATACAATTCATGATGTGTGAGTGCATAAATCATCCAGGGAGAAATTTGTCCCTCTGATCTGCCATGCAAATCACAGCGAAGTGGCAGGAGTGCAGTGTTTGCTTGGCTGCAGAGCATGAAGGAGACTCGGACCTCCACGCCTCCTGACATAGTGGTCCAGACCCCATTTCCTTCCCACCATCCCATCTGGTTAGGTGCCAGTGCTGCAGGCAACATTTGCCTTTGTTACCAGAAGCCAGTCTCCTTGCTTGCAGCAGGAATATCTATGTCCTGATAGGTCCTGTGCTGGCATCTGCCCTCATCCTTGACTGGTCTTGCCCAGCCCCACAAGTCCCAGCAGACCAACCTGCACATAAACTTTATGGTGGCAGGTGCCTGAACCACAGGGGAGAAGTTTGAAAACCCACGTGAAGGTGCCCCTTGTCCATACAGTGCAAGTGGCCTGGGGTGCTTCAGTCCCAAGTCACTACATCCCGCCTAGAGATGCCTTGGAGGGTGTGTGTGTGGGTGTGTGTGTGTGTATGCGCGCACACGTGTGCGTGCAGGAGAGCTCCACACTGAGTGAAGACAACAGATTTTTGGTGCTGCACACTCCTGTCTGAGACATATGGATTTCATAGAAGGAATCATGTAGAAGTAAGCCCAGAGATAAAAAACCTTTCCCCATAGGTAGGTGTAACCAGAACTATACAGCATCACCTGGCTGAGGTCTCACCTACACATGGGACGGAAGTGCTGCTATTTCCCCAGTTCCATGGGAAACACTTTTCCTCCCTTCTCCTGGAACAGCATTAGCACTTTGCACTGGTGACATGTGGCCATTCTCTGCCTGATGAACCCTCCCAGGATTTTCTGCCCTGTGTGTAATTTCTGACACGGGAGCCTCCAGCTTATGTCAGCAGTGCTTGCTTTGTCCCTGAGAGCAAGACCTGGTATTCAGTCCTATTGAATTTCATTTGTTTTCCATTACTCTGGCTTTCAAGGTCACCCAGCTTCACTGAATGGTCAAGTGCTGCACCAAAACCAGGGTGCTCATTCCTGCCAATGGGAAAACAGTTTTTTGAGAGTGCTACGAATGTTTGATTAATAGCATACATCAAGAAACGACACCAGTTCCCAATGTGTGTCCCCAGCGCCACAGCTTTGTTTCTAGCCCACAGAGCAATCAACTCAGGTTACTCTTCTGGAGCATAGGTTTACGCAAAAGGCAGATTTCTGCCCAGAAAGGGCTCTCCTGCAGCAGCATCAGTGTGAAGCTGGTGAACAGGCAGCAGAAACAGCTGATGAAGACCTCATCTTATGTTCATCTGAGGTGAAATGGACATTGTAAGCTTCAGGAGGGCTTGTTTTTCACCAAGTATTTTCCAAAAGAATGTTTCTGGATGGCAGCCAGAGCATCTCCCCCCTCCATCAGTACCCACGTGTGCTGTTTGTGGAGGTTGGGGTCCTGGCCTATGGCACCATTTTGGGGCCCACATGTGGGAATGTTGGCATTTTGGTCAGCCATCCTCAGCACAGGTGTAAAAATCCTGATTTAAGGCTAATTATGGCAAAGTAATTATTTCTGAGCCATGATGGCAGGCGGTCCCAATTAGGTTTAAACAGGATATAAATAGCAGAGCGGGAGAAAACCTTCTGTCAGGGGAATCTAAGCTAGAAGGGGCTGAGGACACTCCAGACGTAAGCAAAATAAATAGGAATCTTTTCAAGCACAGGATTAGGTTGTGTTATTGCTTCTCAGTTTCCAATAACCCTGAGTCCTGGAAAGAAGGCAGGCAGAAGGCTGGGCTTTCTCTGCTCTGCTGCAGATGGAGAATGGCCTCACAGTAGCCCCTGCCAAATAAAAAATTAATAAATTACCTTTATCAGGATAATTTTCCAAAAGGCAGCTCTACTGTTGTTGTCAGCACCCATATCCTGGTAGCCACGTCCACAGTTTTTCGTGTTTGGCATGTTTCATGTGCTCAACAGAAACCCATCAGACACCATTTCCTTTGGCTGGCCAAAGGAAATCCTGCTTGATTCCTCCCTGGTTTATTCCGGGCTCAGCCTTATGGTGAGAGTCTCATGCCTTTGGGTTTCCTCCCCATCAATAGACACTGCTGGGCAGCTGCATTTTCAAGAGCTAAATGTAGAGATGTTCATGAGGATTTCAGACTCATTAATAACATTTTAGAGTTTTATCTCAAAAAAATATTTACAGCTTTCCTTAAACATTACAACTAACTTTCTGATTTTAATATACATTTGTCCCGTGGGTTTTTCACCCATTAAGATAGATTAAGTGACTATTCTAACATACAATAGCAGATTTTGCCCTGTGGTTTAGTGGCTGGCTGTGGTTGACTGATACCCAGCCCTCCGAATCCCTGCTGAGTATCTAAGCTCTATGAGCTGCAGTGAATGCATTTAATCTACATAAAAAGAACACAAATTGCATGTTAGCCTTTTTGAGCCCAGTAATCAGTTTTACAGTTTACTTGGTATGCTTCTCCGCAGTCCTAGTGGCTCCAAGGAGGTTCCAAGGATTCTTCCTCTTCTTTTTTTCCCTACCCGTCTCACGTAGAAGAAAAGTGTTTGCATTTTGATTGTGCTCATTCCCTGACCCCTGTAATTTAGCCATTGTTCATATTTAGTGCCGACTGGAGTCCTGCGGGGCAGCTGATAACAATAATTTGTAATAAAGCATACGTAGCCTCCATTTTTTTATCCCTATTTTCCCTAATAAAGCAAAATTAAATTTGTTAATTAAAACAGATGAAATCAAATAGGATTCTGGGGCTGCAAAAATACATGGATTATCCTGGCCTCACATTTAGGATGATTATAATATTTGGCATGTATATAGTGCTTCAAAGTGGCATCGCAGTTAATCCTTACCCTACCACCCCTCTGAAGTGTGGTGTTGTTCCTCAATTTGAAGATGAGGATGCCCAAGCAAAAAGGTTAACTCTAGAATTAGCCAAAGCCTGCCCAGGCACAAGTGGCTTGCTGCAGCCCCCAGCCCCACAGCGTGATTTTGGACAATCAGGAGATTACCAGGGAAGCCTGTAGGCCCCCCAAGCTTTTCTGGGGAGAGGGGATTTGGACGTGACATTGCGAAACGAGGCTGGGAGGTTGCAGGTTCAGTCGGTGCACTCCGAGCCAGAGGCCCTGGGTACATCCTGCCCGTCCTGTCCCAGCAGCACCATGCGTGGACCACGAGGTGCAAACTGAGCCGCTCATCTGCCAGCTGTTGCCCAGCATGGCACGCAGATGAGACGTTCATCCCAAAATTATTATAATCCCAAACACATCTATGCTCTTCGGGACGCAGAAAAAAGCAAAACAAAAACAACAACTAGGGGTAAAAACATACAAAATACCCTTTAGACCAAGCAGTTATCTGGCAAAATGCAGGCTAAATATTTTGTGGGGTAATGTTGATACCAGTGTTGGCAGATGAGAAAAAAATTTAACCTTCTATCTTGACTCAATTCCAGCTCAGGTCATTTTGCTGTTTTTTGTGTTGCCATTTTCATACACAAATACCCTTTGGTGTACGAGTGAAAACAAAAAGGAAATTAAACACACCAAAACATGATGTCTTGGCAGCTCTGCAATTTATTTTGGAGGAGAGCTGGATTTTCTGGGGCACTGCAGGATGCAGCGCTCCCTGCTAGGGCTCAGTGCTGCTCCCTCCCCCTGCGCTGCAAATTCCTGAACGGCAAAATCCTGGATCCTGAGCAGCTCTGGTGGAAGTAACGTGTGAGGTGATGGGAGCATGCACAAGCTGGGGTTGAGGTTGGTTGTGGATAGTTTTCTCATTATGACTCACAGGCTGGAAAAGTCCTCTGCTGCGCTGTGGGAGCGGAGCCACAGCCTTCGGCTTCTTCTGCAGCAAGCAGGCTGGGGTGGGAGCATCACACCCCACGCTGGGGCAGGCAACCGAATCTGCCTAAAAGGCTCGGGTTTACCCTGCTGTAGGGGAATGAAGGGTGACCCCGAAACCGTGGCCCTCCAGTGAGTCTGCCAAGAAGGTCGGGGGCAGGCGGCCAGTACTGCCCCACCACTCAAAGGAGTGGGAAGGAGGCACAGTGCCATCTCAAACGGAGATGGGAGGGTGATGGCAGGTGACAGGGATCTTCCAGAGGGATCAGCCTGGGTATTCCTCATGCACTGCGAGCTACCCAGCAGGACGGAGAGACGCGGAGTATCCTTGCTGAAGGGACGGTCGTAAATCAGCCCGTGACACCAGCTAATGAGGAACACGATGAGGGGTGAGAAGCTGAGGGTGGCTGATAGTAGACAAGGCTGATGCAGCCGGGAAGGTCCTGTATGGCTGGGAAAGTGGCTTGTAGCCTCTGTTGGCCATAACAGACAAGGTTAAAAGGATCATCCCCATACCCTCCCTGAAAATATGTACCTTCAGCAGACAGTAAATTCTGACAGCTCAAAAGGGTGAACTTTGAAGAAAGCCATGAGGACATTGGAAACAGATTACATCTTTTTTTCTCAGAGGAAATCTTCAGGACATCTGGAGGACAGCTATAAAATTTTCCTATTTTATGCTTTAATTACATTTTGAGATTGTTAGGCTAAGCATCCTGTACTTTAAAAAAAGCAAACTTCATGCTCAAAGTATACAGAAAATTGAAAGATCTACCGAGAACTGTAGCTATGTTTTGGTTAGTTGTCACTTGTAACTCAGTATATTATAAATAATGGAAGAGGGAACATTAAAACATGAGTTCCAACAGTTTTCACCAAGAGTCCAACAAAGAAACAGACTATAGGTGTTGACAAGAATTGTTTGGTGGAGAATGATATTGCATATTGCAGAGGCTGTGAACATCAGCTTTACATAAACTTCTTCCATATGAGACGTTAATCAGGACGGAGAACTGAAGGATCTGAAAACAATCAACATTTCTCCTTTCAAATCCCTCATGTTCAGCGTGAGGAGTTCGTGATATCTCTGTGTGATGGGAATGGGGGACAACCGAGGGTGGCCATGGCCAGGTTGGAGGTGGGCGCATCTTCTGAGGTGTGTGAGGCAGGTCCTGAGCAGAGAGCCCCGCGCCACCCAGGCTGAGCCAGCTGAAGGAAAAGGCTTGCTTGGGGTAGGGGTGCGGGAGCCAGGGAAATGAGCTTCTGAACTAGGGTGAACGAGACCTGAACAAGCCTGGGACAGGTGTTTCAGTGGTAAAGATGAATAAAAGAAGGAGTAAAAAGTGCCTGGGAGGTTTAAAAGAACAAATGCATGGGGGAAACCAGCAGCAAAGGAGGCAGAGCTGCAGATGGACACATGCAGCTTAGATAAAGAGATAGATTACTATGGCTCCTGCAAATTAATTTTGGTGATATATAAAAGTATTCACGAAGTTAATGTAATAGCTATAGGCAAAATATGAGTGTATCTTCAAATACAGTGATATGAATGTATTTCATAAGTCTATGACTATATATGAAAATATATAAGTATGGTTTGCATATCTTTTGAACCAGAATTGGAAAGGAAGGAGCAATTTTCAGAAAAGTAAACAACTGTATTTGGCAGCTTCTAAGAAAGATTTCAATTTTTCATTTTCAAATGACATTTTCATAAATGCAAAATGCATTTAAAAAAAAAAAAAAAAAAAAAAAAAAGAGGCTGGTTGCCCAATTTACCTTTGTATAAAGATCTAGCAGTGGAATACAGTTTGATTGCAAAATATATGCTGTTCCCAAGGGAACTGCTGCTTGAAAGGACTCACTAGCTGTGATTAGACTGATCAGACGATCATTTGCTCTCATCTTAAGCTAGTATAAAGCCAGAAAAAGTCAATTGGCTTGAAGGACCTGTGTTACGGTCACCTGGCAAGATTCTCTTCCTTGGGTAAAAAGGACCAAAACAAAGTTATTATGACCAGAGTATCGCTCTTAGCTCAGAGAAACACCTCGGCTGAATTGAAGGGCTGGATCTGCAAATGTGGTTGATATCGCCTTGTGACATGCCCATTTAAACCAGCAGTGATTTCATCCATTTGTGTTAGGGACAAAACTCACCTTAAACCATGGGGCACAGCAAGTTCCTATAGATAATGATTTTTTTTTTTTTTTTTTTTTTCATGGTGCTAAACTGATTAAGGCAGCACCTCCCCAGGAAGGCTCAGGGGCCGTGCCCAGATACCTGTGCCTGCCATCATCTCTAGTCCCTACCAGAGAAGGCCACCGGGCTGTGTGTATCCCTGCTGCTCCAAGAGCCTGGCACAGGGATGCTCTGGAGGCTGGTGGGACTCTCTCACCCTCGCTCCCCCTCAGCCCTCGCCACCGGGGCTGGATCTCCTCTCTGCTTACACCTGTGTTACAGTGGGTGAGACCTTCACCACATAAGATTTGGGAATGCACCACTGAGGGCAATACTCCAAATTATCTATACATTTTTCATGTTCTTTTCTTTTTGTCCCTTTAAATGCTCTTGGAGGATATTTGTGGAGGGTTTTTTTGCTTTGTTTTGTTTTTCTTTTTTTTTTTTTCCTGCAAAACAAATCTGAAAGATTAATGCAAAGTCAAGCAATCTTATTTTACTTAAACAAAGTCACTAGCACATATACTTTCACTCCCCACCTCTTGGGGAGTGAATATTTATACACTGAATTCTGCAATAATAATTTAACTCCAGTGTGCCCACTGCTCGCCAGAAATGCCAGTGCTACGCTTACTCTTTCAAGTAACATGGTGTATTTGGGACTTTAAGAGAGTGAAGCTGCAACAGTCCCCACACTGGAGTGTTTATTCCCACAAGTAACTACATAGAGCCAGGCAGGAGTGCCTTTGGAGAGTTACAAGTGTCTGTGCTCTGCAGAATGAGGCTCGGGATCAGAAAGAGAAGAGAAAATCTCTTGGTAGTATGCCCAGCTTTCTCTCCCACTCACAGGGTTGTCACCACGTAACCCCAACCCGGGGTCTTTCTCATCTTACATGGCCACAGAGGTGTGTCTCTGCCTCTGGGCTTGGCAACTGTGCTACATACCAGCTACTTTCTCCCCCCAGAAGTCTAAACTAAGTTTTCCTTTCCTTGACCTTTGGCCAACACTCACTGTCCTACCATAAATAATTCCCCACCTTTGTTTAAACTGTTAAACTGAAGGTATTTATTGCTTGTCATCATATTCCCCAGGATTTTCCTCTCTCTGCTAAAAATACTGGTGATCTGTAGTCACTCTTCATAAGTCTTACCCTCCCATCTGCCCATCTTTCCATCAGTTCCTCCTGACCTGACCACACAGACAAGTAATGCATTTTCAGCCAATCTACAGGGAAAATGAACTCATCCCTGGAGGGATGGAGAAGGAAGAACATAGTGGCAGAGCAGAAGGCAGGCTAGTCATGCACAGCTGGCAGAGCCCACCAGATCGTCACCATTTTCACTTGACAAGTAGAGACTGATCCCATGCAACCCTGCTCCCAAACAAGGCTATTATACCCAAGATGCAGAACAGTCAAATTTCATTATCCCTCCTGCAAAACATATGGAGGAAACAAAATATTGGAGGATACTCCAGTGACAGCTAATGACATTACTGAAATTACTATAAATATCATCTTTAATCTAATCAAAAACAGTATATCAAAGGCATTAAAGCTGCAGATGCTTACTGTGCCAGGGGGGAACCAAATGAAGCCTTACAGATGTGTCATACTGTGAAGTTATATTTGCATAATAGAAAATGAATGCTGGTTGTATCTCAGATTTCTACTGCTTTTTAAACCAGGGGGATCTGAACATTTCATTTTAGTGAAGATCTTTTTAGGTAGCCCAAGGTTCAGGCAGACAAACAGAAACACAAATCAGCCTCAGGCTTGACAAAAAAATTCCCAATGAATGGTCACTTTATCCCTTGCTAATTATTACCTGGGCTACTCTGTCATGTATTTAATTAGCATCATTTCTCTTGAAAGCACATTTTACTGAACTGATGCTGACTGTGGGGTGAGAACCAACAAAGTAACATCAATCAGTTAATTAACTAGTTAACACATTTCCTTCCTTCTTAATTTCTTAATTTTCTTTTTCATTTAGCTTCTTCTAGGGTCTGAATTTCCAGGAGGTTTGTTTCTGGGCAACTGGAGGTAGTGATGGGTGAGAGCAGCCTTACCGACATGACCTTTGTGATATTATTTTGCTATTGTAGGGAGTGCATGCTTTTGTGCCCTCGTGGGGTCTATAGCACTGCAGTGAACACTTCTGGGAAATAAAATAACAGGTTTACATTTATTAAACACAGGCACAATCCTGCTTACTGCTGGAGAAATGAACAGAGGCAGCATAACTCCCACCACTGGGCTCAGGTTTCCCCCCCAGTGTATACAATAGCAGGAGATGGTCCCAGACTTCAGCACAGTGCTGTTTCCTGAGATGGAATATCTCCAAAATGGCAGAGATACAACAACTTTGAGCTTCTACAATCATGAACCAAGATACACCAAGTGACCTGGGTAATGCACTGCTTCTCTCACAGTGTGCTCCCCTATGTCAACCAAGAGTGCTACATTGCTGGGACTACTGAAATCTCATTAAAACAGAGAGAGTCTAATAACATTTTTCATTTGACCTCATTCCAGCAGAAGGTACAGAACTAAGAAAAGAAGAATCTGGTGGGGGTTTTTGCTTTGCTTTAGGTTGTTGTCTGTTCCTCTATTTGGTCATGCCACTCAGCAGTGCCTCCCTCCAAAGACTACTTAAACTTTGACGATGTCCTTCCCTGAGCTGTTCTGGTCTCCCAGCAGCCCTACCTCCAGCCACTCTCTTTTTGATCACACTCCAGCTTCCCTCTTTGGTGGGATGAGAGTAGCACTTGTTTTTGGTAAAGCAATCCAGTTCCATGTTACATGTGGGTGATGCTGGTGTAAAGTATCAGCCAAGAGTTTCCCAGCCACCCCATGCAGTTGGGCTACAAGGAAGGAGGCGCAGGTTCAGCAGCAGTGCGTTTTGTCTCCCCCCACTTAGCTCTTTGCAGGAAGATTTTGGCGTTGTCCTAAATGTACCATGGTGGGAACATGCATTATCAGGGCAGAAAAGGGTGATATGGTCCTGGTAACTTGGCATGAGTGTTGTAGAGATCAACCCTGTGCTCATAAACCCCAGTAGGAGTATTGCACTGAGCAGGACAGCAGGGCTCTGTCTTCATGCGGTGGCTGAGGATGGATTTCACTAGACTGAACACTAGATTTTACATGGCACGGGGCCCACATGTGGTCTCTACTGGAAAAAAATGGATTTTGCCCTAAAAGATTATGTGCCTGGACTTATTTAGGCTGCAATTTGCATGAAGATCTTCATTTTAAAATAAGTCCCCCAAAAGCACCAGGAAAAGAAAGA